CCACTTATCGTTAATGTCATGCCGTTTCATGAGGGAGGAGGAAGCGAGTCATTTACCGAGTGCGCCGAAGAAAACGAGTATTTAAAGTGGCCATAAATTGTGCACGCCTCGTGTTTTCTGTGCCGAGTTTCGTTCAGCGAAGTTTCAGCTTCGCACGGCGCCTCGGAGTCGCCGTTGCTGCGTCAGAGTACCGGTCCTCTTCCGAACAATGGCTTAGCTAGCGCGCGACACAAGTACGCCAAGGACCGAGGGAAAAGTGCGAAACTTGCAACTCTTCTTCCGCTTCGTCGGTACTACCAGCAAGGCTAAATCAGTGCTTACTTGTTAAACGATTCGTCATAAAGAACAGAACTCATGCCACATCGCATCGCCATGCTTTCGATTCCTTGCCGAGTGGCTTCGTCATCGAAGACCAAGGAAAACATGTCCTGCATGCCTCCATCAGCGGTTGGTGATGATCGACCCTCGTTCGCGACCGAACTTCATTCGGACTCGAACGCGGACTTGAAAAAATCGTAGTTGACGACGACAGTCGCATCGCGTGCTCGGATAAGAAACATCTCACAACAACGTCTGTGCGTGCTTCCGGTCGCCACCGGCGATCTACGGCGACCTGCTCCATTCTGAATCCAGTAATACGCCCAATCGCTGAGTCTGCAAAGAAAAAACTCGCAAAAGGGCAAGAACTCAACGACGACAACGACAACAAGCGGTGAATGACAACGCGTCACGTATAACGCAGGAAACGACGACAAGTGCGACAGAACTACCGACAGGCCAACCGACGAGGATCGACAGACAGACAGATGTTGTGTGATTAGAATATATCGTCACTGCTCGTTACTCAATGCGAAACAACCGGCTAATGATGAGCTCAGCAAAGAGACCAGCCAGCACGATCAATAAACCTGACGATGTCACAGACTCGAACAGATGAGTAGTTTCTCGGCATACGTACAAAAGCCGTCAACCCACAAGCCGGAAATGCCCGACAACCAAGAATTGCATAGCGATTTTTAATTAAGTTTACACGGCTTATGATTCATGTAGAATACCGAAACACTAAAGAACCTGGCATGCAAAAACTTGAAGTCGCCGTTTTGCTTTTGGCCCAGGTGCGTGTGCTTCTGTGACAGAAAATCCGCCCGATCGCTGCAGGCTTTGACCGCTTCGCGTATCCATCGAAGCACCACAGACACACCACCGATCTTTGAGTATGTCGCATCACGTCGCCAAGCGAACAAAAACTACTGCAACTACAACAAGCATAAAATCAATAGATTAACTCAATACTTGCAAGGCTGTTTGAAGCTGTGACGCATATGAGCGCTATACACTAAGCAACATGTGGTACCAAACGTTTCGAAGGAAGAGACCATTCGCAAAGGATGAGCGAGTTTAATTTGCATAAAATTCGTCTGAGACCACATAATTTTTAGCAGCTGAACAGCAACTTTCGCTGATCCACCAAAGAAAAATCCATCGACGTTCTCTGACGCAGTTTCTATTTTAAGGATAAACAGAAATAGACAACAAATAGTCCGGAAAGCTTTCAGAAACTGTGGCTACCATCGACATAATATAAGAGAAAATCAGCAACCAACTAAAGACGAGTGGTAGGGAAAGAAATGAAATAGGACAACAGAAATTTAACACTAGCATTACTATTCCATGCATGCAACATCTACGTGAGAAGCTGCGTAGGATCGCCCGAAAGTCTGGCATACGGCTGGTATTCGGATGCCAAAAGACACATTACGGAGCCTGCTGATGCATGCCATAATCAACGAGCTAAAGTCTAAACGACAAGGCTGGATCTACACCCTATTGAGTACGATCTCAATTACATAGTAGAAACCGAAAACCCCATAAACGAGACAAACAATACGTCAGTAACCGGACGATATGCTGCAACGTCAGTACACGTCAGAATGGATTAGCCCATAAAGGGAAAGCGCGAAGACAAACCAAAGTTTCAATGGTCGTCAAGAACGAATGCAAAGGAACTCGGCGGCTGAGGAACTTGCAGTACAAGAACGACATTGAAAAGTTCGCATCGGAACGAAATTAGAATACGGCTTCCAATCAGCAGAGTTGCTACCTGACAGTGTCGCTTTATAAAATAACAGTTTTTTCATATTATATCTCATCCTGAGAAAGAGTCGAGCATAATCAGTCGGAAAATATGTGTAATATTGTATTCAATATGCGATATTATTCAATAAGAAATTTTTCAAATTTTGAAAACAATATGGAAATATTCTTGGATAAAATTACGCCTAAGTCACGCTGAACTTCTGCTTAAGCGTCAGCTTTCTCAAACTTTACCGGCTCGATAAATATAATCTTTTCTAATTCATTTCTACTTTGAGAGGATAAAGTAGGCGAACGAAAACAGCAAAGCCCATGGCTATGACTACAAATAACCGTGTGGCAATCGTTCGTGCTTAAAGTAGATTTTTAACGCTAGCTTCGAAGTGAAAAATTAGCAAACGCAGAATTATAAATTAGAAGAATTATTCCTTCTATCCGATTTATTCTCGTCAGCCGATACGCCATAGACGCAAGTCAACAGTCCGCCACTCTACACGATGTTGCGACCTTTGCTTTCACCGCTGACCAAACAAGTTCATCACGGAGTCGGTCTAACGCGTTGGTGAACGACAGAGCCAAGGGAATCCAACTGGTAATTCGGTATGTTCACCTGTTGTCCTTCAGAAAAGTCACATGATCAACCCATAGTCCGTTCGATCTGTGGGTGGTTGTAAGTACAGCCAAAATTCGTGTTTTGCACCCACTATCGCGACTGGAACATGATCTCAAAGGGAGACTTTCCATATTTCTCTTTCCATCGCCTTTTACGTTACCCTTAGTCTCCTCAACCTTGGTGGTAGACCAGCATTCCTTGAAATCAATCATGGCGAATAGAATGGTTAAGAAAAACAGCTCTTTCTTTGTGAACATGGGCAGTTCGTTGTCCAGCAGCGACTTACTGATGTATCTATTTTTGAAGTATCTGTTGGAGCTCACATCGTCTTCGTTCTTCTGCTGATCCCGTCGTTGATGTCATTATTTGAGTCAATTATGTGGCCGATGTACATGTAGCTAGCGACTTTTTCGTTTCTTCGACGTCAATGAACACAATACCCCGGGGGTAGTGCTCGTTGCGCATCCATTTCGTCTGGGAAATGTTCATCCTCAGACCGATGGTGCATCACTCTTTCTGTAACTGCACAGTCATTGTTTGAAATTCCGGCTGGCCTTTGGACATGATGTCGTGTGCAAGGAGCTGACAACGTAGCAGTTCGTCGTCGATGTTACTGCCGCCGCCCCATTTCATACAATCAACGAGGGTTTCCGGCGATGTCGCGAACAACCTGGTCGAAAACTAAGAGATGGTGTCTCCTGACGTACTGCACATCTGATTGATTGATTGATTGATTGCACACGGTTCCTCGGACAGTTTGATGTCGGCTGCGGTGTTAGTGTTCAAGTCCTGGATCAAGTCAATGTAGACAGGGTTAAAGCTGCAGTCGCGTAAGTCGTTCAGTGTAGCATTCAGCTCGACGGAAGCGAACGTTTTTCTGAAGAACTAGGTGAAGGCGTAGCAGAGAGGGAATTGGTATTGCTCGCACTTCTCTTTAACTGCCTCACGATGTGGACATGGCCCATGGTGGAGAACTCTTTTCGGAAACCGGCTTGTTCTTTGCTAGCGAGCATTTCTAGGCTTTTCCTGGTTCGGCTGACGATGATTCGAGTAAAGACCTTGTAGATTTGTGAAATTAGAGGGATGGTTCGGTAGTTCTGAGCTTTCAGCATCATTCTTCTTGAATAGAAAAATCTTCGAAGAGTTTTTATATGCTTCTGGCGTCCTTTTTCAGCCTGATTTACTGTGTAAATCGTTCGGCAAGAGCGTTGAACAGGGACATTCCTCTTGACTTGAGTTGTTCCGATTTCATGCCGCCCAAGTGAGGACGTCTGTCACTCGTGATATTCTTGCTTGCTCATTCTACTTCGTTCCGGGTGACACCGGGAACGGTTTCCGGAACAACGTACGACGGCTATCAGTTTAACTTTACCTTCGTTTTGCTGTAGAACGTCGTACAGATCGTTTTCATGCGAGGTAGTCCAAGGCAGAAATTCGGTACTTCCCGAGCAATGACTTGAATTAATTAATACTCAACTGCTCATCAACTGATAATGTAACTTTTAAGTATCTCAGAACAATCCTGCAAATTTAGGAACCTTTGATCCTGAAATGAACTTGGAGGTGAACCGGCATAATCGAATTTCAGACAACGGCATGAAATAAAGAAAAATCAACATCATCCTCCTGAAAGTAGCGTATTCGCCATTCTAGTATACAAAGCTAGAAACACCTGCTATTTCGAAACGTCATGACGCCCTCACCCCTCGAAAGCGTCTAACACCGCTATCCACGAAATACTTTCACAACTGGTACAACAGTCGGGTTATGAACCGGCGCATGGCCTGAACTGACAAAAGGTAAAAAAACAATGAAAATACATACACAACGTTTCTTTAATCAGTGCCATTCACTGGTTACAGATACATGGGTGCAAAACAGAAGGTGTAAAAATATATACAGAGACAGGCTTGTATGCAACGAAGACTGCGATTACTGCTGCAGTAAGGAACAATGTTCAACGGAAATCTGAGTTGCAGCATCAAAAGAACCAGACGTAATTAATCGGGGCAACGCTGCTTATTGATGATACTTCCTTGGAATCATACTTTATTGTTACGGCTGTCGTCATCACTGATTTAGTCGGTTCCATGGATGTCCCGGAGAGATTCGATCACTACTGAAGAGTGTTAACGACTAATTTGCATGGAGTTTCATAGAACTGGTTCATATAGGCGAGTCTTCAACTGTCGTCTGGTTTATTATCAGAGTTATCTTGTCTAGTCTTTGACTGCCCAGGTCTAAGAGCAAGGCAGCGGTGGTACTGGTAACCCTAATACTGACGGGTCATTCTCACCTCGTCACGAGACCGTCATAGGTAAATACGTGGGCATTTTATGTGCCACAGTTGCCGGACCTGATCCCAGCCACACCCTGACAGAACTGACCGTTGCTTGTCCACGAGTGTTTCTTCGTCACAGCTGACTTCCACATTCAGGAATTGTTCCACCATTTGCAACCTGCGGGTGCGCTAGATAGCCCGCAGGCAGGCTCACTGGTAGACGAACAGTCAGCGGAAAGTATGCCGAGTCAGAGAACAAACCAAACAATGGTGAATTATTTCTCGTACGAACTAGTACAAGCTCTCACTAACGT